GTTTTTCTTTCAAATTCCTTTTATGCTGTTTTTTGTTTTTCTTTACAAAGTTCTGTCAAATATATTATCTCATTACATTTTCACATCATTGTATGGCAGGAATTGTTATTTTCATTATTATGATGAAAAAAACTGAAGTACAGATACCTATAATGCCATGTCAACAGTCCCATGGCTAATGGGTGGTATAAAATCTGTTGTTGTCCTCCCCCAACTCCCAGTCTTAAAATGTAGTGTTTTGAGATTTGAGATATTTCTTTGAGATATTTCTTAACCAAAAAATGGTTAAGAATTTGCTTCAAGCATATAATATTGTTTATTTAAAAATAGTTAAAGCTAATAAACATTTATTAATTGAATGAGTAAATCAGCTATATAATTTAGAGAATAATGTTTTTGTCAACAATCTTGACTGGTAGAATGTTTCTTGGTTTCTATGGGCTTGTTGCCACAGTAACTCTTAAAAATATAAATAACACCAGAAAATAAAGACAAGACTGAAGCAGATGGTAAAAGAAACAATGATGGCACTTTCAGAGACTCTTTTGAATTGATAGAATTCCTTGCCAGGCTCACAGAATTTTCTATTTTCTGTGTTTTATTACACATCATATTTCATCACAAGGATAAAAATAAGTCCTTAAAAATTGGGACCCTATTTTTAATTCTTTTGTTCCCTCATTACAACCACTTTAGAGCTTATTACTATAGTCAAAGGCAATTAAAAACTTAGTACTAGTTGAAGTTACTAATTTAAGAAAGATGATGCTCTAAGAAGCCATTATTTTAAAATATTAGTAATGGATTTTCTAGGTCAGTACTGGCAGTTAATTTTCAACTTTGTTCTCTAGCCAGAGGCAGTACCAACTTGTTGTCATGGAATTATGAGTACAAGTTCCACAGGGCAGAAACAATCTCTCTTTTGACAGTGGCCTGAGTAGCAATGTTGAAGTATAAGTGTATACTTGATGAGTTATAAACACAAATGAATAGCAGACTCAAATCAGTGCCTCACAGGCCATTAAAACCTGCCCATAGGCCCTAGAGACTCCACATACTCTATCTCTTGGACTTTTTTTCTCTTCTCCCTCAAGACTTCCAATAGAGTTAGATATGATCTCCTGAGTTCCACTTTACTTTTGAATTCTCAAAAAAAAATGACAGTATTGTCTTTTGGTGCCAAGTTTTATTACTTATTACCATAAACAAACAGGGGGCAAAAAAATTTTTTTAATGGGGAAGGTTAAATGGATAGGGTTAAACTCCCTAAAGAAGTGTTCTCTGGCCTTGAGTTCTTTTTTTTTCTTTATTGATTAAGGTATTACATATGTGTCCTTATCCCCACATTACACCCCCCCCCATTCATGCCCTCACCCCCCTGTTGTCTGTGTCCATTGGTTAGACCTATATGCTTGCATATAAGTCCTTTGGTTGATCTCTCTCCCTTACCCCCACCCTCCCCTATCTTCCCTCTGATCGATGCTTCTCTGTTTCTGGATCTGTTTTTGTTCATTAGTTTATGTTGTTCATTATATTCCATAAATGAGTGAGATCATGTAATATTTATCTTTCTCTGACTGGATTATTTCACTTAGCATAATGCTTTCCAGTTCCATCCATGCTGTTGAAAATGGTAATAACTCCTTTTTTACCGCAGTGTAGTATTCCATTGTATAGATGTACCACAGTTTTTTAATCCACTCATCTACTGATGGGCACTTAGGCTGTTTCCAAATCTTAGCTATGGTGAATTGTGCTGCTATGAACATAGGGGTACATATATCCTTTCTGATTGGTGTTTCTAGTTTCTTGGGACATATTCCTAGAAGTGGGATCACTGGATCAAATGGGAGTTCCATTTTTAGTTTTTTGAGGAAACTCTATACTGTTCTCCACAGTGCCTGCACCAGTTTGCATTCCCACCAGCAGTGCACGAGGGTTCCTTTTTCTTCGCATCCTCACCAGCACTTGTCATTTGTTGATTTGTTGATGATAGCCATTCTGACAGGTGTGAGATTGTACGTCATTGTTGTTTGACTTTTTTATCCATCAGCATTGATAATTTCTTTTTAACTCTTATCTTTGAGGGTGGAGACCACTTTCCTTCTTCTGGTCTTCTATTTGTGAAAGGCAGTGTGGATCTTCTATCCTGCAAAGTTTCCTCTTCCTGGGTTATACTGTAATCAAAAATTAAATTCAGGAAAAATAATGGAAGACCCCAAGCTGGCACCAACACTCCTTAAGGCCTCCATATTGGGTTATAGCCAGTATATATCCAGCTTCTACCTGCCAATTAATTTATCCATTCTTCCAATATTTATTTAGTATCTCCTAAGTTTCAGACATGATTCTAGGTGTTGGAGATACAAAAGTGAACAAACCAATGATCTCTAGCCTCACAGAGCTTACATTCTAGTGGAGAAAGCAATACAATAAACATGAACTGATGTTAGATTGTGATAAGTAATACTAAAAAAATAATAAGGCAGATAAGAGGAACAGGTGGGGATTGCGATCCTGGAAAGGGAGAAAAGAGTTCCCGACAAAGCAAAGAGCAAATGCAAATTCCCAAAGGAGGGACTGTCATAGTGTGTGCTTGAGTGGAGAGTGAAGGAGCGAGAGGGAAGTGGGAACAATGTCAAAGGCAAACTATGTCTAGTCTTTTGCCTAGAGTTAACCTCCATGTCTATGAAATACTGACTACTGAGTGGCAACAAGTTATAGTGCTGGAGAAAATTAAGACTAAAAAAAAGAGGTGATAAGTATAACCTAAGATTCAGGGCAACCATATCAAAACCAAGTAAGCCAAGTAGAATGAGTAAAACTGAGACTTCAGGCAAACCATGTTTCTGGACAGAGTTCAAGAGGAGAGCATGTGGTAAATCTGGTAAAGTAGAAGAAATCGGAATAGAATCATTATCAAGTTGTCAGACAACCATGAAATCCAGGAAATTTATAGGAACTAAGGAGCCTGAAGGCTGGTATAGAAACAAGATGACACATCAGTAACTGAGTCTGATACTGAGGTACTTAATATCCAACCAACCAGAAGAGTCCTTCTCTGCTGTCACCCTGGAGGATGATGATCCAAGAGAGATGATGTGAGTGAAAGGTTCCAGGCCAGGATCACCCCAAATACCTGCCTGCTAGTGATACAGGGACCAGCGGTCATGTTTTCTGGTGGAGACATTCTTTTAGCATATCCAGTGCTCCTGGTCAGATTTCTTCTCTTTGCTCTCATCTTTCTGCATACTGCCATCAAGTTTAGCTCTTACTAGTAAAGCTCCTTGTTGGTTCTAGTAGGTCCTGAAGTATGGATGTTGTTGTATTGATTTCCTGCTTCAGGAAAGAGCAGGAGAGAAGGAAAAGGCACAGGAGTAGAAGTAGAAGGAAGGAGAAATGAAATAGGAAGACAAGTGGAAAAGAGAGAAAGGAAATCTGGACAATTTAGGATCATGACTCAGACATTGGGCATCTCCCTTATGACAGGTGGTTATAGAAATCAGAAACTGCCTGGGCTGTTGTGTTCTTGTGTTGAGTTTACTGGAGGGATATTCCTCTCATATCACACTCAACTGTGTGACTTCATGCATAATTGGATGTTACTTGCTCATTTTCCCCCCTTGAGAGAAATTAGTTTCTTAAGTGGGAGATATTTCTCAGCCTGAAAAAAAAAAAGACTTCTCAATTTGTATTTCACAAGTTGGCATCTATATAAAAGACAACTGGGAAAATATCGATTAAAAAAAGTATTGCAGAGCGACATTTATTCAAGACTCAAAATATTTCAGGCAATTTATAGAGCAGAGAGATAGATGTAGTCCCTGAAGGCTTAACTTGTGAGCATCAGCATTGACTGAGGAGAGCTAATTTACTGTTTTCCGAAAGGAAATGGGGTGGAGAAGAAGAATTACAGCAAAATGCTTAAACAGAAAGAGAGTCACAACTTTTTATTGAATCATTGTTTGGGATGGTTTTGCAAACTTATCAATCATTTTGTGACATTTTACAGTGTAACAAGATTTTGGTGTTGGGGAAACATCATTTTGAAATTGCCCCAAACTAGATTTCTCTCTCTCCCTCTTCCATCAAACTGACATTGGGTACAAGTTTATGAATCTTGAATGATTGGTCTATCAGCTAAAACTTTTTAATGGCAAATTACAGAAGTAAACTTGACTTTGAAAAAAAGGGGGGGGGAATCTAGTGTAAAAGAAAGGGAAAGTCTTCGGGAACCTCAGGATAAGAAATGCAGCTGGGCCCTAGGAATATTTCGGAATTTATTCTGGAAGGCCCTCAAATGTCTCTGCTCTTTGGGCCCCCTGTTTATGCACTTTGGTTTATCTTTCTTGATCTAAATTATATCTGTTTTAATACAGACTAGGGCTTTCCCATGGTTTCCAAATTGACATTATAATGTCAACCTCCCAAAGTGACCACAGAGCTGTTTAAATGCCTATTCCATATTCTTGGGAGAGAATATCTGTTTGCTACCCACTGGCCACCCCTGGTTTCATAATACATAATAAAAACATGGTTTCTAGAGTTCGAGCTCTGTGGATTTGGGGACATGAAGGGAGTGTAGTTTCCAGAAATGAAAAGTTGTTATGGGCTTGGTGAATGTGCCTAATTCGTCTTTCCGACCATGCCCAGAATGAGAATGCTGCCTAGCACCAAGGATGCTCTCAATAATTATTTGTCATGTGAATGGTTACTAACTGAATGCACTAGCGAGGAAATAAAGAACATGTTTGGTTAGATAAATGAAGATTTTGCGTTTTGAACATCATGACAGTAAATCTTTGAGTTGATTGCTCTAACAGTTAACTAAAAACTAAAGTTACATTAGTTAATATCATTTGATTTCTAGCTTTTTTCTGTATTTTAAAATTTTTTAAAATCATAAATGTTGTAAAGACATTTGAATGACTTAATAATACACATATTTATTTTAATGGTGTTTATTTCTCTATTTAAAAAATTATTTGATGCTCATGAAGACTAAACCTGGAGTAATTCGCCCGGTACCTGTAAAATCCAAAATATTATTGAAAAAAGAGGAGGATGACTATGAACCCAACCCTTTCAGTAAATATCTGGAAGATAACAGTGACCTCTTTTCTGAGCAGGTGAGTAAACATATAAGAAGTTCTTTTATATTTTGATAAATGGCTGTATATCATATATAGTTCTATGAATATAGTATGTGCAAGAAAATGTCCATTTAATGGAGTATCCTTAGTAATAAAATAGGTCATTTGTTTGCATTATAAAAATAAATTCTTATATATTTTCAATTTCTAGAATGATATTTTGAAGTATTTCAATGTTGTGCTTTTAAATTTTTTTTTCTAATGATATTATTTTTTTCTAATGATACTATTTAGAATTTTTTTTACTGATGATATTATTCTGGGGAACAAGACAGTACTCTCTATAGGGACATCACAAAGTCACTGGTTGGATGTATTAGATAGATAGGTGTTGTATTCTTATTTCTAAAATACTGTTTTCTTTTGAAGAGATGTACTATTTTAGTTTTGGTTTATTAGTACATTTGCAAAAGATATATTGTTCTCATATTAACAGAAATGATGTGATCCCCTAGATTGAGCAACACTAATTAGAAGATAGGTTATCAAGTTATTTAAAGCTTTGTTGTTCATTCATTTTGTGTGTGTGTGTGTGTGTGTGTGTGTGTGTGTATGTGTTAAAAAGATGTACTATCTTCCTCTAGTATATCCTATATTTTGGAGGAAGTGGAATGGAAGGTTGTCAGTGGTGTTTTATTAGATATTTGGGAAAAAATGTAAAAATAAATACTCATGTAATATAAAACTTCACAAATCATTTCAAAGAAAACTTTAGATATTTATTTATAAGATCACCACATTGGATAATCTTCTCTAATAGAAGTATAATATGCAAATTAACCATCACTCCATCACAAAGATGGCGGCGCCCATAGCCACAAGATGGCGGCACCCAGTCCCTCAGCCCTGCCAGAGTCCCCCAGTCTTGGGGGGACGGCCACTGAGAGCAGGCAGCATGAGTGGCCTGGCAGGATGCTTACTTCATCGCCTCTGGGCCACGGAGAGCCTCTGGGCAGCGGGTGTGGAGCGACCAGGCCCTGCAGAGAGCAGAGAACCACGGGGAGTGGGCCTACGCCGTCAGGGCTCCCCGATTGAAGAGGGCTCCCCTGAGGGCTCCCAGATTGGAGAGGGTGCAGGTTGGGCTGAGGAACCCACCCCCGTGCACGAATTTCATGCACTGGGCCTCTAGTCTATAATAAAATAGTCTTATCAATAAGGTGGTATACTGTTTTTAAGTTTTAGTTTGAAAATAACTATCTTGTCCTTGAAAATATAAATGAAATCTATATTTATGAAATGTAAGCCACATATTAGCTTTATAACCCTTAGCAAGTTGTTTCCTCTCTCTAGGCTGCAGCTTCTTAATGTATAAGATGAGGCACTTGGATCAAGTACTTTAAAGGGTACTTTAAATTCTAAAATTTGGGTTACTTAAAATCTAATATTAACTCTGACTGGATCTGAAGTCCATATAGAGCCTTGAAAAAGTTCAACATAAATACTTCCTCATGATTAACTATAATGTTTATTTATGAAGCAGGGAAGAAAATATTTTCTGTTTATTTGTCTATACTTTGTGACATGATTTTAATAAATTAAAAAATTTTAAAAAGCACTGATAATATTGAAAATTATAATTAGAGGAAATTATTTGTATTTAATGGAACACAGTATAGTTCTCAACTTAAATTAAATACAGGGTTGTTTAACTAATTCCACATATAACAGAAATGGAAATTTTTGTTAAGAAAGCATATTTCCATTATCAACAAAACACTTATTAAATATCTATTGCTTGCATGTCACTAACATTTTAGAGGTTTAATGTAATATTTTAGATATTATAGGGTGATGATAAAAGCTTTATTAGTAATATATTCTTATATGACAAAAATGCCAATAGTTAAAATAAATTTCACATATGATACATGTAACTTACATTTGTCAAGATATGATCTAATGCTATATATAATATAATAATTTTCCTCTTGTATTATAATTTCAAATTTATGCATTTTAATTTAAACAAGATTCTTTGTAGTATATTAAGTTAATCTACCTATAATTTATCACAATTTGTTGTCCTCTGAAATGATAAATTCTGTTTTCAAGTGTAGGAAATTCTTGTCATTAAAAGGAGTTGCCATTTCTTTGCTTTGCTTTTCCTGACTATATAGCAAGTTTAAAGCTCTGCTTATTTTCAACATAAACCTATGAATTTCTAGATAATTTGTTGAAAATTTGAGCTCTTTTGCAAATATTAAGGTGCCACAGACATAATCTTATTTTCATTTTCTTTCAACCAATTTATTCTTGTGTGTATCCCAATTTCTGTGTGGAACATGGGAAGTAATAGGAGTCTGCAGACTGTTGGAATTGAAAGAACTCCAGCATACCACTTAATAGTGAATTCCAAACATGCCCTGGGCTTATTCATTAACCGTGCATGAGAGAGGAAGTTATAATAGAACCGAGGGGTCACTGCACAGTGAGAAACTCCACATACTATCAACTTGTCTCTTTATATAGAAGTCCAGCTACCATCTCACTGGGACAAGAATCTACAATGGAGGCAGCTACGAAAGACAGCTCACTAGAGTAGATGCTTAGTTCTGCTTGCAAACAAATTGAGTAATAACAATTTATAATCTCAGATTGCTACTTTCATCAGAACACTTCAATAGAAGAGAGTGTACTCAAATTCAGTTCTAGCCACTATTGCGTTCTCTCCTGCCACCACAGAGTAAATTGAATGGTTCCAAACTCAGCTGATATCACCCACCCATGTAATGGAAAATTCTTTAGCCAGAATGTTGGGCCAAATTGAAGCAGCTCACTTTCACTAATCTGCCTTGTACTGGGGACAGTTCCACATGACAGATGTTGAATGAGATTGTTAAGTCAATAAATTTCCCCTAGCAGCTTCACTGCCATAAAATATGATTTCAAAACTCTCTGTTGCAAAACATCAGACACTAAAGATGATGAGACCAGACGGTAATGTATTTACTGTCACTTAAGAAGGTACAACTGGGCGACCTTTTGAACTGATAATGAACTGAAAATTTGCCTGGAGACAGCCTCTGAGTACTAAAAGGAAAGTTGGAGACCACATGCAGAATCAAGTAATTGAGACTTATTAATTAACAGGTTTTACATCAAAATGGCACAGGCCAGGAAGCTTCTTTCTGAATTAGATGGATTTTTTTTTGACAAAAACTCTTCATAATGAAATTTATGCTTTTCTGAAATTACCTTTAAATCCATCATTGCATCATTTTGTGGCCTTATTGAGTTATTATAAAATATCTTCACTCTGTACATATGAATTTTAAACTATGAAGTGCTTTGAAGCATAGTTCTATTGATAATACAATCAATTTCACTGATTAAAATGAAGATTGTAAAGAGCCAAATGGTTTTTATTTTGTCTGACTAGTGAGATTGCAAAATATATTGATTGCTTTCTGGTCTCTTAATGTACCTAATTAGATAAAGGTTGATTTCTTCACTGAAGATACTCAATTTAATATAAAAAGTAGTTGCTAACCTCAGTTCTATAAAATATTCTCTCATTCTTTATAAATTAGTCATTCAACCCAGGGTATTAGGTATGTCATTTCCTTCTTAAAGCACTAGGGTAATGTATGAAAAAGGTTTGGGGCAGAATTAAAGGGGAATATTGTTGTTTTCATGTGATTACCCCCTCCCACCCCAATAAAAGGGAAATAATGCTTCCCAGCACGTATGCCTCTTAAACTTTATCTTCCTTCGAACTCGCTTCTCAATAGGGAAGATAGCATGTTGATGTGTGAAAATGACCATTTAGCAAATTTCCTCCATACCACTTCACAGAGAACATAAAAGAATAATTATAGGGAATTTTCTTGTTTTTCTTTTCTTTTTATTTTTTTTCCTGATTTTTCTTAGCCATAATACTTGCTTATCTCTTTCCAAACTTTCTGTGCTTGGCATTAAATATTGAGGATTATGTGGGCGATTTTCAGATTTCTAATGATTCATCAAGTTATATTTCTACTGTGTCCTTCAATTTTACTTCTTTATGTCACCCACATGTTAATATTACAGGGCAAATACCTTTTTTATAAGGTGAGACTCATAATATTGCTTTATTCTGAATAACCCTGGCTTTGCCACAAATTGCGACTTTTTCAACATTTGTTTCTCAGTCAAGATGACTCATTGTCTTTTGTCAGGAAATGATATTTTATTAAGAAATACTTTTCAGATTGAAATGTTTAATTTTTTAAGTCTAGAAATGATTAAATGGTTTGCTGAATTGTTTTAAGGGGGAGAGAACTAAAATTCCTTGTAGTGTTACATTTCTTTTGGAAGGTTAAGGTCAGAGATTTGGCTTCTCCAACTATTACCATGTTGTTTTTGTTTATCCAAGTAATGAAATCCTTGTGAGTTTGTCTTCTCTTATGCCACCCTCCCTCCCTGCCTGCCTCCCTTCCTTCTTCCATATGTAATAGGTAATAGACAACTTACTGTAAACAATGTATAGTAGTATATGTAATCAATAATTTATCATCATTACAATAAACTACTTTCATATATATATATTTATATATATTAAAAAACTGCTCTATAGAGACAGTATTTGCTTTTTCTTCTAGCATATAACCAGATAGGATCACCTCTTTTTTTTCTTTTTCTTTTTTTTATTGATTAAGTTATTACATATGTGTCCTTATCCCTACAATATTCCCCATCCCCCCCACTCATGCCCTCACCCCCATGTTGTCTGTGTCTATTGGTTAGGCCTATATGCTTGCATCACCTCTTGAAACAGGATTTGATCTCTTCCTATTTCAGGCTTTAGCTTTCTCTTGACCTTGTATATGTATCAAGGTTGAAAGATTAAAACAAAAGGATTGTAATTTGCTGTTGCAGTGTCTACATTGCTAAGAGAAACTACTTTTTTGGTCCCCCTTCCCTTGGCTCATGTACATTTAAGAATCTTAAAGAGATTATTACTTGCTTTAAAATGAACACACACACAAAGACCTATT